ATACTAGTGGCGGCCGCAAGCGCGAAGAAATAGCGGCAGGCACAGGTCTTCGAACCCTAGAGCTCGGTGGTGTCAATTCACCATAAATCCCCCGAAAGGAGGAACAACCCCGCCCACCACGATTATCCGACACCCGACGGGTCCCGGTTGAAGCCAAACGCCGTAGGGTTGTACTTCATAAACGATGCAATATCCCCGAGAAAACGGGGATAGTGTACAGAATATCTATCGCAACAGCGAAAGAGGATATGCTGGCGAGACTGCAAAGCAGCCCCGCAAGTGCAGCCATGAGGCTCATTGATCTTGAAGCGACGGTAATACGCTCCAATGGGCGCGTGGCCAGTTATACACCGGCAAACGCGGGCGAACTCAGTAATACTGTGTCCGAAGGTTGAGAGCCAGGGTCCCCCATTGAGGTACGATGGCTGTAGCGGCCGCCTGTCAGGCTGTTGAAGCTCTAAGAATTCAGAGCCTCGGTAGGTTGGATCCTGGAAAGTGGAGTTCCACGAATCCAGGACTGAGTGCGCAGCTTGAGAGCGAAGCGCATCTATAGAGTTGTCCGTCTTGCGACATCCAACCCTGACTTTGAGCTCGGTGACATACTTGTGTGCTTCACCATGGATATCCCAACGCATAGCGGAAGGGACGTAGACGAAGGTAATGCGACGGAGATCATCTGCCTCAAACCACTCTTGAAGAGCGCGACATACTGACAGACTAAAAGCCTGACCAGAATGCACGCCAGGGTCAACCGCTCTGTGGGCTGAGCCCATAGAGTCAGTAAAGACCATAATATGTTGGCAGTTTGCCTGCTTGACAGCAAGGCGCACTGCGCACGAGATGGCATTGAGTTCCGCATCTGGGGCGGTAACTCTGCCAGAGACATAATCCGGTTGTCCACCGGATGTCCCTTGTAGATTATAGCAGCCGAAGCCGCCTGATACTGGTTGGACTGAGGGACAGAGCCATCAGTTGCAGCCAGTACTGTTAGTGGGTCGGCCCTTGCCTTCGCAATGAGCTCGTCTAGATATGGGCGCCTATCCTGGCCAGGATCACGCTCGTCAAAATGGAGACGGTCCGCATAGTGGTCCAGTAACCGGTCGCCTGGGCGAGCTTCGGGCGCAAAGGGCTCGAAGCTCTCAGTTAAGGTGTGGACGCGCTCGTCCACTTCCATGACAGTGCTCTTGACTTTCCCCCGCATGGCTGGGGTCATCAAGGCGGCAGAGCGAGCGTGTGGTGCGGCTCGCTTGAGGAGTCCCTCGCCCATCATAGAGCGAAGGGGGTGAGTGTCTGAGAGGGTAGCGATGCGATACACTGCGCGCGTCGCCAGCTTCTTCAGCATGAGATGGACGGGGATGAGACCCGCTAGTGCCTCAAGACCGCCTGTGGGGGAGGTGCGGAAAGCACCCGTAATCCATAGAGCAGCTTTTCGCTGCATCCGTTTCAACTGGTTCATCGCACCCTTATTGCGGGCGCCATCAAAATACCAGAGACGATAACCGTATGTGGCAATAGGGACCACACACGATCGATATAAGAGGCGGCGCTGTTTAGGCGATAGACCTCTAGTAGAGTTCCCGAGCATGCGCATGGCCTGCACAGTGGTAAACGCCTTGGTGGCGTAGTAGCGAACGTGCTCATGGAACGTGAGCCCGCGGTCAAAGTAGAAGCCCAAGTACCTCCAATAGGTCTTAGGTTTCAAAGGTGTGGCGCCGGTATGAGGGGCGTACCCCAAATCCAGCGAGGGATTGTAGGCATCTCGTCGACGCGAAAAGTGGAACAGCTCGGTCTTGTCGTGTTCAAGAACGAGTGCGAAGGCAACAAAGAGAAGGTAGATAATTTTGTAGGCCTTACGCAGGCCCACATTATTATCATCAAGTTGTTTGGATTGGGCCAGAATGGTCCCATCATCCACAAAGACAGCAGCGTCATGTTGAGTGGCGCCGCTTTGATGTAAAAGAGCTTCATTACCGGAGCAATGAACAGCCCAGAGATAACAGGCGAGAGAGCAGAGCCCTGCCCGACACCCACGTCCGCAGACCGTGAGTCGGATTGGAAGGTGTTCCAACAGTAAACTGTGGACCGGCCTACAAGGTAAGAGGCAAAGAATTCCACCAAAACAGGCGAAAACCCTTGCTTGCGAAGAACAGCCATGAACATCTCATGGTTAATAGAAGGGAAGAACTGCGTGATGTCAAAAGCCAGCGCGCTAGTCTGGAGACCCTTCAGAATCAATCCAGCATCCTCAGTTGACCGTTGGCGGATACTGCCAAGTTGGTTGGGATGGAAGATATCATGCTTGACGGCGTCAAACTGTATTCTATTGGCAATCATCTTTTCGATAAGTTTACCGAAAGTGATGAGGAGTACGATTGGCCTTGCACATGCCTCATTCGGGCATGAAAAAAAATCAAAGAGCATTGGGGCGGTGTCCCCGACGCCCGACGTGTGCACCATGATGAGCAGGGGCCATTCTGAGGCCCCGAGTACTGGTGTGAGCAGTGTTTGGCACCTGTTTGCATCACCCGCTCCCTGTCAATGGTGCCGAACACCCAGCAACCTTTCTCTCTCATCTGAAGGGCATCCTAAACAGGCAGGTAGGAAACTGCCCTCCAGGGCTTAACTTCTAACTTAGGCTACTACCTATAATTTCTATAAATTTAAAGCGCATACAGGTGCAGGATTTGCAGACAGGGTGATCTTGCGGATATCTCTCTCGCCTCTATGCTTGAGGCTGAGACGTCTTCCAGGGAAGAGCCGACCATCCACCCAGCCCCCCTCCTGCTGCCCATGGGCCGCTCGACGAGGGTACTGGCATTGGAGTCTCTTCTGACGTCCTCATGCAGGCATTGGACGACCTTGGTTGCCCGGCCTCCCCTGCTCGCATCCCTGCCTCTAAGAAGTGTAAGGGTGTTGATCGTCCAGTCCCACCTCCTCCTCCTCAGAAGAGTAAGGTGGCCTACTCTCGCCCTGGTCCGCCTCCACTGATCAATCATGCTACCAAACTCAAGCCCTGTCCAACGACATGGGCAGGGATTGCACAACAGGCCACTTCAATGCCTCCCCCGCCTCCTGGCTTGGGACCGCAACAATGCGGGCCTTCCCCTCCCCCCTCATTCCTGACAGGGCCGATGAAGACCTCCCCTCATCAATCCGTCCCTTCTTTCACTTCCGAGGGCCCCACCAGAAGCAGGTTCTCATGTCGTTCAGGGGTACCCCTCCTGACGTCATGAAGTTTTTCACCGAGTCGGCTGTTCGTGCGGCCAACGGGTACCTCAGGGATGGCCGTTCCATGTTGAAGGTCACCTCCATTGTCCGTGCCTATGACAGTTTGTCGTTGGTCACCCCCGCCGTTGCCAGCCTGTCCGACCTGGACATACTGCACAACTTTAGCTTTTAGCCTGTCAGTTTGTCACGCTCTTCAAGAGTGGTTTGAGGCGGATGATCTCCGCCGCATTACCTTCGTCTATGTCCCATCCGCTCTACGTGGGATATCCATGGTGAAGCACACAAGTACGTCACCGAACTCAAAGTCAGGGTTGGACGTCGTAAGACGGACAACTCTATAGACGCGCTTCGCTCTCGAGCGGCGCACTCAGTCCTGGACTCGTGGAATTCCACTTTCCAGGATCCAACTTACCGAGGCTCTGAATTCTTAGAGCTTCAACAGCCTGACGGGCGGCTGCTACAGCCATCATACCTCAATGGGGGACCTTGGCTTTCAACCTTCGGACACAGTATCACTGAGTTCGCCCGCGTCTGCTGGTGTATAACTGGCCACGTGCCCATTGGAGCGTATTACCGTCGCTTCAAGATCAATGAGCCTCATGGCTGCACTTGCGGGGCTGCTTTGCAGTCTCGCCAGCATATCCTCTTTCGCTGTTGTGATAGATATTCTGTACACTATCCCCGCTTTCTTGGGGATATTGCATCTTTTATGAAGTACAACCCCACAGCGTTTGGCTTCAACCGAGACCCTTCGGGTGTCGGATAATTGTGGTGGGCGGGGTTGTTCCTCCTTTCGGGGGATTTATGGTGAATTGACACCACCGAGCTCTAGGGTTCGAAGACCTGCACCTACCGCTATTTCTTCGCGCTTGCGGCCGCTATTGTAGCGGGTTGCGGCGCCGCTAATTTTCTGCGTCTGGTTTCGGGCAGGCGCTTCTTTGGCTGGTCGGCCTTAAGACACCCTGCCACCTCCCGGGTGGTGCTCTTCTTATCTCATTTGTGCTGCGTGGCCTCCGAACAGCGTCCGACGACTTTGGGGTTTAGCGGGGCCTTGATGGTCTCTTCCCCTTATCCCACGTCACCGTTTTCGCGAGGTGGGTCTGGCTTTATGGGAGTTTAGGCGTTTGAGCCATAAGGCTCGTGGTTGGGGGGGCAGACGTCTTTCAGTAGTTTACTTAGTACCCAGGCCGCGTAGTGTACGTGTTTGTAGATAGCGAGCGGGCTGCCATCGAGCACCGCTATATAAATTGTTGATAAAAAAAAATGTAAGCAAATACTGCGCAACTTTATTTGCGAAAGCCTCCCAATGGGTACCCCATTCGAGGTTGCGCTCCTATTGTCGACATCTTTTATAAAGATCCTTGATGTTCCTTACTTCGATCTGAAGGGGTTGAAGATCACCCAGGAGGCGCTTGAAAAGGCCCTCTGCACCTCGGTTCATGCTGAGGTTTTTGCATATCTGAGCACCAAGCCTTGGATAGATCGCAACTTGGTGCACTCAACATCATGCACTGTCTACTGCAACCTTTGGGACTCCCAGCAGGGAACCCGCACCAAGAAGGCCCTGGGCCAACCGATCTTCCTTGCTGGGCGGTCCTGCACAATCAGGCCCACTGCACGACACACCAGGGTCCTGCTTTGCCAGCACTGCTGGAAGTGGGGCCACCCCACCGTTGCCTGCAAGGCGAAACAGCTCTCTTGCCCTATCTGTTCGGGTCCACACAAGCAGAAGGAGCACCGTCAACATGCGGGATGTTGCAAGGGCAACGTGAAAGCGAAGCCTCCTGTGCCTGTGCCACCCACCCCTCACAACCAGCCCTGCCCCCACAAGGGCCGCTTTTTTTTTTTTTTTTTTTTTTTTTTTTTTTGATCAACAATTTATATAGCGGTGCTCAATGGCAGCCCGCTCGCTATCTACAAACATGTACACTACACGGCCTGGGTACTAAGTAAACTACTGAAAGACGTCCGCCCCCCCAACCACGAGCCTTATGGCTCAAACGCCTAAACTCCCATAAAGCCAGACCCACCTCGCGAAAACGGTGACACAGGATAAGGGGAGGAGACCATTGAGGCCCCGCTAAACCCCAAAGTTGTCAGACGCTGTTCGGAGGCCACGCAGCACAAATGAGATAAGAACAGCACCACCCGGGAGGTGGCAGGGTGTCTTGAGGCCGACAAGCCAGAGAAGCGCCTGCCCGAAACCAGACGCAGAGAGTTAGCGGCGCCGCAATCCGCTATAACAGCCGCTTACTACCCCCCAAACCTAGACTAATGTTGGGAAACCATCAGGATCTAAATAGTGGGCTACGTATTTACTGTCAGAATGTTCGTCATACCTATGCGCATGTAGACACCCTCCTCGAACTTTGTAAAACAAAATTTGATATTTTATTCTTCCAAGAAACGCCTTGATTTCATAAGACACGCACTGTCCACCACTAGTATGGAGGGCGATGAGGTTATTGGTGCACCAAAGCATCCCGATTAGCTGCAGATGGTGCGCATTAAGGAAGGGGAAGTTCTCTGCATGATCGCCTATGTTTCAACTAGGCTCTCCCGCTATCGTCCCACCATGCGTCACGACATCATCGACCATTGCGACATCCTCGTCCTCTCCCTCTTCAGTGGGGGTGAAGTTCTTAATCTAATGAACATCTATTCTGACGATCAACACACAGCCATTGAGCACCTTGCTGCTCGTGTGCATTCTCTGCCACCTTTCATCTATATGGCAGGCGACTTCAACTGCGTTTCGACAACTTGGGATGACTATGAGCATGGCGAGTTGTCAATGGCAATATCCCTGCAGGACACCGCATCTCAGATCGGCCTCGAATGGGCACAACCTTCTAATCATGGACCGATGAGGATCAGTCCTAATCCAAACCAGAGATCCAATGTGTTGGATCGTGTATTCTTAGCTCCATCTGAGATCTTGATCTCAATGCCCAGATTGGAGCATGATCTCCAGGGTCCATCAGATCATGTCCCGATCTGTACGGATCTTGATATTGGTCCCGAGCCACCCGGATCTGGGCGACGGACAATTAAACCCAGAAGCGAGGCTGAGAAGTCTTTCATTTTGGATATCCTCCGGGACCTTGCAGCTATTCCTGTCGCAGCCCTGGCAACCAAGGAAGGCGTTGAAGCTTTAGCCGATGCTATTGCGACAGCATTCTCGGACACATGGCTTGCCCACACGACCAAGTCCAAGCCTACCAAGTGCTCCAAGTCCTGGTGGACAGACGAGTGCTCGGAAACTTTCAGAGTATATCAGTTGAGCTGTATGCTGGCTGATTACAACAAGTTTAAGAAGGCGTGTAAGGATGCCAAATGTAACTTCTTTGATGAACACATTGCAGAAATTGCTACCTCTTGCAAGCACCTGTGGGACCTAATGGAATGGGTCAAACAGTGCAAGCTACCACCCTGTGAGGCTATTCGCAATGGCGACCGGCCTTGCCATGATATGGACGACCTTTGGGATGCCCTTCATGGCACGTACAACTCGGCCTCAGGTTGTGAGTACAACACTTCAGTCTTAGACGAGCTTCCCGACAAGCCGGTCTGTGAGTGGGCTGACTTTTCGGAGCATCAGTTGTTGAGTGCTCTTAAGGGGTGCTCCAACTCCTCTGCACCAGGACTGGACCATGTTACATGGGTCCACCTAAAGGAGTTGCTCAAGGATAAACATGTCCTTGCGCTCTTCATCGTGTTGGCCAATGCTTGCCTTCAGGTGGGTCATTGGCCTCGTATTTTCAAGGAGTCGCTGTCGGTTATCGTTCTGAAGCTGAACAAGCCCTCCTATGCAGTGCCAAAGGTTTTCAGGCCGATTGTACTCCTCATCACTTTTGGCAAACTTATCGAAAAGATGATAGCCAATAGGATACAGTTTGATGCTGTCAAACATGATATCTTCCATCCAAACCAACTTGGCGGTATCCACCAGAGGTCCACTGAGGATGCTGGATTGATTCTTACCCATCTTGTGCAAGCGGGGTGGGTTAAGGGTCTCCAGACTAGCGCGCTGGCCTTCGACACCCCAATGACAGCAATAGCATCTAGTACAACTTTGTGTTTTTTTTTTTTTTTTTTTTTTTTTTATCAACAATTTATATAGCGGTGCTCGATGGCAGCCCGCTCGCTATCTACAGACACGTACGCTATGCAGCCTGGTTACTAGGTAAACCACTAAAGGACGTCCGCCCCCCCCAACCACGAGCCTTGTGGCTCAAACGCCGAAGCTCCCACAAAGCCAGACCCACCTTGCGAAAACGGTGACGCGGGATAAGGGGAGGAGACCATCGAGGCCCCGCTAAACCCCAAAATCGTCGAACGCTGTTCGGAGGCCACGCAGCGCAAATGAAATAAGAAAAGCACCACCCGGGAGGTGGCAGGGTGTCTTGAGGCCGACAAGCCAGAGATGCGCCTGCCCGAAACCAGACGCAGAGAGTTAGCGGTGCCGCAGTCGACCAAAAGAGTCGATCGTGTGCACGAAAGAATTGCGATGGACGCAGGTCTTCGAACCCTAGAGCTCGGTGGTGTCAATTCACCATAAATCCCCCGAAAGGAGGAACAACCCCGCCCACCACGATTATCTGACACCCGAAGGGTCTCGGTTGAAGCCAAACGCCGTAGGGTTGTACTTCATAAACAATGCAATATCCCCGAGAAAACGGGGATAGTGTACAGAATATCTATCGCGACAGCGAAAGAGGATATGCTGGCGAGACTGCAAGGCAGCCCTGCAAGTGCAGCCATGAGGCTCATTGATCTTGAAGCGACAGTAATACGCTCCAATGGGCGCGTGGCCAGTTATATACCGGCAAACGCGGGCGAACTCAGTAATACTGTGTCCGAAGGTTGAAAGCCAAGGTCCCCCATTGAGGTACGATGGCTGTAGCGGCCGCCCGTCAGGCTGTTGAAGCTCTAAAAACTCAGAGCCTCGGTAAGTTGGATCCTGGAAAGTGGAACTCCACGAATCCAGGACTGAGTGCGCCGCTCGAGAGCGTAGCGCGTCTATAGAGTTGTCCGTCTTACGACGTCCAACCCTGACTTTGAGCTCGGTGACGTACTTGTGTGCTTCACCATGAATATCCCACCGCGTACAACTTTGTGTTGCATCTGCTGCTTTGGGAGTTCATTTTGCATATCTTTGCACCTACTGCTCGGAATCTCATCCGGTCTTTTGCAATCTCTTCAGAGTGCTCATAGGTACTTATATACAAAGTTTGGTAATTTTGAACAAGTCTGAGGTAGTCATTTTAATTATTTTCGTGTTTTTTGCGCATTTTTAGCTCTTTCTCTAATACCATTTCCCCCAGGCATCGGAGCCTCATCCATCACTGCTGAAATATGCTAAGGGACATTAACTTAACTCGAACTCACCATTGGATGGGTGTGATATGTGGATTTGGTAAGTATATAGATAGATACTGATGTGGGGGACTACCTCCTCCTCCTCCTCTTAATAACTTTACACATAATCATCCCCTTGCTCTCACAAGTACCTCATTCTGTTTCTATACATTTATCGTCATTTATCATGATTTTACATGTGTCATCGAAAAGATGATCGCTAACAGGATACAGTTTGATGCAGTCAAGCATGATATCTTCCATCCAAACCAACTTGGCGGCATCCGCCAGAGGTCAACTGAGGATGCTGGATTGATTCTGACTCATCTCGTGCGAGCGGGGTGGGTTAAGGGTCTCCAGACTAGCGCGCTGGCTTTTCACTTTTCGCGTCGACGAGATGCCTACAATCCCTCGCTGGATCTGGGGTACGCCCCTCATACCGGTGCTACACCTTTGAAGCCCAAGACCTATTGGAGGTACTTGGGCTTTCTACTTTGACCGCGGGCTCACGTTTCATGAGCACGTTCACTACTACGCCACCAAGGCGTTTACCACTGTGCAGGCCATGCGCATGCTCTATGCCACCAAGGCATTTACCACCGTGCAGGCCATGCGCATGCTCGGGAACTCTACTAGAGGACTCTCGCCTAAACAGCGCCGCCTCTTGTATCGGTCGTGCGTGGTCCCCATTGCCACATACGGCTATCGTCTCTGGTATTTCGATGGTGCCCGCAATAAGGGCGCGATGAACCAGCTAAAACGGATGCAGCGTAAAGCTGCTCTATGGATCACGGGTGCTTTCCGCACCTCACCTACAGGCGGTCTTGAGGCCCTTGCTGGCCTCATCCCCGTCCATCTCATGCTGAAGAAGTTGGCAACGCGCGCAGTGTATCGCGTTGCCACCCTCTCAGACACTCACCCCCTTCGCTCTATGATGGGCGAGGGACTCCTCAAGCGAGCTGCACCACACGCTCGCTCTGCCGCCTTGATGACCCCAGCCATGCGAGGGAAAGTCAAGAGCACTGTCATGGAGGTGGATGAACGTGTCCACACCTTAACTGAGAGCTTCGAGCCTTTTGCGCCCGAAGCTCGCCCAGGCGACCGGTTACTGGACCGCCATGCGGACCGTCTCCATTTTGACGAGTGTGATCCTGGCCAGGATAGGCGCCCATATCTAGACGAGCTCATTGCGAAGGCAAGGGCCGACCCACTAACAGTACTGGCTGCAACTGATGGATCTGTCCCTCAGTCCAACCAGTATCAGGCGGCTTCGGCTGCCATCATCTACAAGGGACATCGCGAGCTCGAGAGGACTCGCTATGTCTCTGGCAGAGTTACCGCCCCGGATGCGGAACTCAATGCCATTTCGTGCGCAGTGCGCCTTGCCGTTAAGCAGGCAAACTGCCAACATATTATGGTCTTTACTGACTCTATGGGCTCGGCCCATAGAGCGGTTGACCCCGGCGTGCATTCTGGGCAGGCTTTTAGTCTGTCAGTATGTCGCGCTCTTCAAGAGTGGTTTGAGGCGGATGATCTCCGTCGCATTACCTTCGTCTACGTCCCTTCCGCTATGCGGTGGGACATTCATGGTGAGGCACACAAGTATGTCACCGAGCTTAAAGTCAGGGTTGGACGTCACAAGACAGGACAACTCTATAGACACGCTACGCTCCCAAGCGGCGCACTCAGTCCTGGATTCGTGGAGTTCCACTTTCCAGGATCCAACTTACCGAGGCTCTGAATTCTTAGAGCTTCAACAGCCTGACGGGCGGCCGCTACAGCCATCGTACCTCAATGGGGGACCTTGGCTTTCAACCTTCGGACACAGTATCACTGAGTTCGCTCGCGTTTGCCGGTGCATAACTGGCCACACGCCCATTGGAGCGTATTATCGTCGCTTCAAGATCAATGAGCCTCATGGCTGCACTTGCGGGGCTGCTTTGCAGTCTCGCCAGCATATCCTCTTTCGCTGTCGTGATAGATATTCTGTACACTATCCCTGTTTTCTCGGGGATATTGCATCATTTATGAAGTACAACCCTACAGCGTTCGGCTTCAACCGGGACCCCTCAGGTGTCGGATAATCGTTGCGGGCGGGGTTGTTCCTCCTTTTGGGGGATTTATGGTGAATTGACACCACCGAGCCCTAGGGTTCGAAGACCTGCGCCTACCGCTATTTCTTTGCGCCTACCGCTATTTCTTTGCGCTTGTGGCTGCTATTGTAGCGGATTGCAGTGCCGCTAACTTTCTGCATCTGGTTTCGGGCAGGCGCATCTCTGGCTGGTCGGCCTCAAGACACCCTGCCACCTCCCGGGTGGTGCTCTCTTATTTCATTTGCGCTGCGTGGCCTCCGAACAGCGTCCGACGGCTCTGGGGTTTAGCGGGGCCTCGATGGTCTCTTCCCCTTATCCCACGTCACCGTTTTCGCGAGGTGGGTCTGGCTTTGTGGGAGTTTCGGTGTTTGAGCCATAAGGCTCGTGGTTGGGGGGGCGGACGTCCTTTAGTGGTTAACTTAGTAACCAGGCTGCGTAGCGTACGTGTTTGTAGATAGCGAGCGGGCTGCATCGAGCACCGCTATATAAATTGTTGATCAAAAAAAAAAAAAAAAAACTCAACAACTCATGCTCCAAAAAGTCAGCCCACTCACAGACCGGCTCGTCGGGAAGCTCGTCTAAGACTGAAGTGTTGTACTCACAACCTGAGGCCAAGTTGTACGTGCTGTGCAGGGTGTCCCAAAGGTCGTCCATATCATGACAAGGCTGGTCACCATTGTGAATAGCCTCACAGGGTGGTAGCTTGTGCTGTTTGACCCATTCCATTAGGTCCCACAGCGCTTGCGAGAAGTAGCGATCTCTGCGATACGTTCATCGAAGAAGTCACGCTTGGCGTCCTTACACACCTTCTTGAATTTGTTGTAATCAGCGAGCGAGCGGCTCAGCTGATATACTCCGAATTTCTCTGAACACTCGTCTGTCCACCAGTACTTGGAGCGCTTGGTAGGCTTGGACTCAGTCGAATGGGCAAGCCACACATCCGAGAACGCCATTGCAATAGCATCAGCTAAAGCTTCAATGCCTTCCTTGGTCACTGGGGCTGCGACAGGAATAGCTGCAAGATCCCGGAGTCCACAATGAAAGATGTCTCAGCCTCACTTCCGGGTTTAATTGTCCGTCGCCCAGAGCCGGGCGGTTCAGGACCAATATCAAGATCTGTGCAGATCGGGACATGATCTGATGGACCCTGGAGATCATGCTCCAATCTGGGCATTGAGATTAAGATCTCAGATGGAGCTAAGAATACAAGATCCAACACATTGGATCTCTGGTTTGGATTAGGACTGATTCTCGTCGGTCCGTGATTAGAAGGTCGAGCCCACTCGAGGCCGATCTGAGATGCGGAATCCCGCAGTGATATTGCCGTCGACGACTCGCCATGCTGCTCGTATCGTCGATCCCAATTTTTTTTTGATCAACAATTTATATAGCGGTGCTCGGTGGCAGCCCGCTCGCTATCTACAAACACGTACACTACGCGGCCTGGGTACTAAGTAAACCACTAAAGGACGTCTGCCCACCCA